CTATGTTTCAAATCATTGATGTTTACTAATTCCTTCGACCATCAACATTAATATTTGTTGATATTTAAATGAATGATAAGACATATTTTTGATATTTCTACCATATTATCCCGGTAGGCTACAACAACAAACTTTGTCTTAACAAAATATTTTTTAAGTTATTTCTTGACATACCCTTCTTAACAATAACATTACAAGAAAACAAAAAATAAACTTATATTTCACACACACACATGCTTATATGAATGATTTACAAACATACTACTTAATTCCTATGTATTTACATATATATCACCTATAATGAGTATGATCAATAATAGCATTGGTTGAGTTTTGTTTATGATTTATTTGCTAACAATGCCCATAGCTATGGAACTATGTTGTAATACTTTTATTTTACTTTCATGATAATCCTATGTATAGTTACAATGCTGCTAGTGGAAATTATGAGATTTTAATGTCTGGAGAGCTTCTTTTCAGCCATTCATTTGCAAAGGAACCCTTCCACTTTGCAAGACAAATGATAAGTAATTTTTTTCTTAATTATTTTGAGCAAGGTTTTATCAGTTTAAGGATCATGCAACCACTATTGTTCAGAATCTTTTACTTTCTTTTCACCTTATGTTGTAGATTTCTCTCTTATAATATTTGTACCCAGTCATTAATGGTTGCATTGTATTGGAAGTATTGGAAATGCATGTTGTATTCTGCATGCATGCATTTACATTTTGTTAATTTTTTGTTGGAAGAAGCAACAAACTATGTTTATACACTTAAGATATCTTTGTTATTTAGTGTTTCTTTTATAATAATAATATATCATAAAAGATAGATAAGAGAAGTGCTTCCTAGATCTTCAAAAGTACAAAAAAGATTTTGTATGATCTCATGAACATGATGGTGAAGCCACAGAACATGCATTTAGCAAGAAGAAAGCAAAAACAAGAAAAATCTGGATGCAACAATTTGAAGAGATAAAATAACACCACTTTGCCATTATCAAAAGTTTTCACCTTCATAAGCTCTGTAATTATAGTTTCCTATAACTGTAGTTTGGAACTTACCTGGATCAAAATGAGATATAATCCATAATCAACCTCAAATTATACCATTTAACAGTTTGTGATATTTTTAACATCAGAATTTGAAATTAAACCATCAAACACATTGTAAAGAATTAAACCAAAAAATATATCACTTGTAATTAAACTAACAAACACATTCCTTGTAATCTTAGAATTACATTAATTCATGTTTTCAAATACATCAAGAACATAAAAAATTCTTTAAACTGAAAAAAGATAACTTTATAACTACTATTAAAAGTATTGCAATCACAACTCAAATATGAAATTGGCTTTTCACCTCCTTAAATAGTACGTAAATCATGGCTTAATTCTACACCCCAAGATGTCTGCCCTTTGGAAAATATTTTTTTTTATGGACTTTCTTCCTTTTTTCCCCCTTCAAATATACAATCAAGCTCTCAATATCAAATTTAATGTTAAAATAAAGTTAAATTTGCACCGCATATCACTCAAAACACTATTCATTTCTATTTTTTCGGAGCATAAATAAAAGTGACCTAACATTTGGCCAAATATTCAGGAAACTAGAGTTTAAGATTAGAAACTTCGTCACTCTCATCAATCCTAGAAGTACCAATTATGCTTTATTATTGAATGAAAGAGAATTTAATTCATATTTATTATAAAAAAATAATATATACCTTTTTCTCACAAAATCTTGTTTTATTTTTTTTCTAATGGAAAGGGACTCATATTTGTTCATCATAGTCATGAACTAGCAGCAATAAGGATGCTAAATATAATTATAAACAAATAAAAATAAAATAGTCCAATCAAACCACATTGAAATATAGAATGCAGGCATAGATCAACATTTCAAATGCGACAAATTAAATGTGAGCAAAAACTCAAGTAAGAGAAATCTATATGACCAGGAAAGTGTAAGTCGTGAAAGGGAAAACTATAGCTTATCAACCAGAGCAGTCACAATTGAGGTTGGTTGTCTCATTAATAAAAATAAACAAATTTCTCATAAAATCGACCACTAGAGGAAGGAAGTGCTTTAGGTGACTGAGTTGGGAAGAAAATATGATGAAGGCCATTAGAGAAAGAAAGTTATCTCATTCCGATTGACATGATTAGATGACCTTGACTGCATTCTCTTGTTGCTTTCTGATGAGACATTGAAGAGGCGTGCAATGGAGGCGATGAGAACTTACGACTTGCAACCTTGAAATTAGGTGGAAGCGAAGTATGGAGAATTATCACATGGTTAGGAATTTACAACATTGTTTTTTTACTGTTGTTCATTCATGTGATTGTGGTATTGAGCATGTGAGGGATGGCGATTGTGGATTTGAGCAGGTGAGGGACAACATTCGACTGAAGAAGGGAAAGTGTTTCTTGAGTTGAAAGAGGGGAAGATCCTTTGGAGCTTGCATTTAAAAGGGGAAGAGCTACTATGGATCATACGTGGAAGTGAGAAAGAGAGATGTTGTGGATGATAGAGGAGACATAATGTTGTTGGTGTTGTATTAAAAGAGAATTTGAGAAATCTATAAGTAGGGATATTTATATATTTGAAATATGTAAATAAACAAATTTTCACTGCTCTATATATGTAAAATCCCATATTTTAAATTAGTTAAAGTCTTTGACATGTTCGTTGTGTTCAAAATATCATTCTAGTGACAAATTAGTTTTGGTAGTGTTTAACGCAAATTTATTTTTGTGTATGAAATTCAAATATTAATCTTTGTATTTTTGCTTAAATTATGATTTTTTTTGTAATGGTTTTACTTTTTTATTTTTATGAAAGTGAACTTTTCTTATAAGTGTAACTTGATCAATGATTACAGTCAATCATTTTAGTTGTTTAAAATTTATTTTGTGAAACTAATTTTTGGCTTGTTTAGAGGTTACGAGAACAAAGATTGTACATTTACTTTCTTGCATCAACTAATCAGATTAAAATTATTGTACCTTTAAGTATCACGAAGATCTTTTCTTAGTTGTTACAAAAATTGTTCAAAGGGCTTTCATCATATTACAATTCTAATGGATCGTAACAATTTTAGCATTAATATCTTTCTTCCTTGCCATTGAAATCACCACAAAACCCCTAAAAATTGTTGCACTACCATTTGTTTCGTTGTGTGCAAATCAATCATCGATAAAAATTGCACATAAACTCTTTTTTTTTGAGTAATAGCATTGTTCACCATATTATAGCAAATGTTAACTCCATGTTGGTTGAGAGAATCAATAGCCAAGTTCAATAGTTAAAAAAATTATCCAAACATGCCAAGCCATATTTGACCAAGGCAACATTTTAAATTGCTTTTATTTCTTTTTTATTTTTTTATTTTATTTTATTTATACTTTGATACGAAATAAAACCTATTTGGCATCTGAAAAGCATTTTTTTCTTTTTATTTATATAGAGTTTGTGTGATTGATAGCGAGATAAAGATATGATAATGCTATTAGTTGTTGACTATAACATTTCTTTTAAAAAAATCAAAATACCTAAATAATTATTTTGAGTTTTAAAAATAATGTAATTTAATATTAAATTATATAAAAAAAATACAAAACTATTACTAGGTTACAAAGTAGTAGGTACTCCACGCCTATTGCAATCATGGAATATGATGATTGTTTAAATATATTTTGCAATTTTCTAATGATTATTCTAAGCTAAAGAAGCAAGGGGTATTATTTTGTGTTCATTTCAGATAATTTTTTTACTATTTTGTTTTTTTTAAAAGCTATATTTTACTATACTTTTTTGCTAATATTTGTAAGGTTTGGTAGGAGAAATAAATTTTTATAATTAAATTTGAGAAAATATGTTGGCTAGAAAAAAATTATTTTTTTGTTGAATCCAAAAATACTCTGTGAATCAAACTCAAGGTAGAAAGTATTAAACGGATGAGTAGAATCGATAGAGAGAGTGAGAGATAGAGGAAATCAAGGTGCTTATTAAAATTAGAACACAAGTTATGAGAGAGTAAATTCAACATTCTTTTATTGAAGAAATGAACCCCTATTTATAGGTGTTAGGGTATTCTAGTAGAATCGATAGAGAGAGTGAGAGATAGAGGAAAGCAAGGTGCCCAATAGTAACACAAGTTATGAGAGAGTACATTCAACATTCTTTCATTGAAGAAATTAACCCATATTTATAGGTTTTAGGGTATTCAGTAAAATTATATGCTCGTCCCTGTTCTAATAGGAAACATTAAAAGTAATTATTACACATTTTCATATTTGTAACTGACTCCGGAGTTTTTAATGTCTATAATTGGGCCTAGCACCATTTAGTATTCATAACTGCTCATAAATGGACATCTAATGACCTGTTGATGTTGTCATTCGATCGTCTAATAGTCACTCGGTTGCTGAAAGGTCTTTTATTGGTTGGAATATCTTGATTCGACTTATTCAAAAGAATCCTCAGTAGAGATCCTCTTGCGTTATGGTGAACTTGGGCTGTTAGATGGATGGTGCTTCACCGCAATCTAACAGACAACTCTCCTTAGATAAAGGACCTTCTGAGAAGATTAGAAGGATATTCAGTGCCGTGCTCTTTGGCCATTTCAGTGAATAATTCCAAAATCAGTTGTTGGAGCTGGCCACAAAATAGTTGTCCTAGATCAAGTGTCTTCGGGTTTTCGTTTGGATGTGCTTCCGTTCAATTGGTTCAGAGTCCCGACCGAATGAAACGATGCTTAATGTCCCTATTTTTTGACTATATTCTTTTTGTGTTTATTAACAAGACCCGTTAAATTTCCTCGAGAGATTTGGGTAGCATATCTTTTATATACATTTTGCCTTATAAAAAATTATAATATTTAGGACAGTTTTGAAAATTTTCTTTTTTCACTAACAAAATTTTTTAAGGGAGTAAAAACAAAATTTCGATATATATATATAAATATAGATATTTGTAGTCCATGGAAACCGCATCCCGATCGCATGAAGTCCTCCAAAGTCCGACTCAGGATGCCGCATATATCGGGGTACGCGGGTCTCAGGTGCGCCATTTGACCAGCTTTCATACTTCTCTGCTCTCTGCGTCAGTTTTATTCTTCCGGTGGGTAAACTCGACCCTCCATTACTCCTGGCGCTGAAGGGGGCTCTATCTCTCCCTCCCTCCCTCCCTACCCGCCTCGCTCCCTCTTACTCTCTGCCCGTTGATCGATCGATCCATTATTGAGATCTCATTTTTGGCCATCGGAAGCTGATCTCAACCCCTAGGTTTGATCCCTCCTACACTTTTGTTTCTTGAATTCTTTGTTTCAGAGCTCAGTTTTTTTTTTCTTCCTCCTCTTCCCTTTTGCTCTATTTCGCTTGATTGGCTCCGTTTGAGTCGGTTAATCGTTTTTGTTGTGCAGTCCCTTCTTTCCTCAATCGCACTTACTGATTTCATGTTTTATTTTGTTAAAAATTGCAGGGGTGTTGGCATATTGTGGCTCTTCCAAACGTGTTTAAGCTAGCTGCGTTTCTCAGATTATCCTTGAATTAGCAGGGTCTTGGATGCTTTTTCTCATATTCATTTTTTTTGTACAAATTGTGTTGAAATTAGGTGTTTGACTAAGAGGTAAGCTTTTGTGGAGACAAAGGCTGTGTATATTTGATCACGTAATTAGGGTTTAGCAGAATGGGTGGCCTTTGTTCGAAGAGATCTGTAGTAGATAAATCCCCTAGTGACAGTACCCTAAATGTTGACTATCTCGGAGACAACGACCTCAGTTCAGATCAATCTAGTGTGAAGATTAAGAGCGAGTCCAATGCTCTTCCTGCTGGTGAAAAGAAGGACAAGTGGTTGTCTCAGCCTCCTCTATCCTTTTCAGATCGGTTACTGTCTACTTTTGGGCAAAACCCAAATGACACTGCTGATTTAAAGACGCCTCAGATGTCTAGGGTCCATTCACAGAAGTTCAGGCTATCGAATTCAAAGCCTGCGGCTTCTGCAAAGAATGGAACTACCAAAGTAAGTCATCTTGGGAACTATCTCTGTTAATCTGCTATGAAATATGAGTTGTCTGAGTTGTGGATGAGATGGTGGCTCGGTGGTTGGGCATTCTCTCCCTCATGAAAAGGTCCCATCCATGCTCAAAGTTCATTGACAAAAATAAAAAAAAAAAACAAAAAAAAAAAACAAAAAAAAAAGAAAAGGAAATTTGAGTTTTATAAAATTTTGCAAAATTAAGTAATTTTAGCATTATTTATATCTTTTTCAGGGACATTGCATTCCATTCGCTGTCAATGTGTCAGACATCCATTTGTTTTAAACATTGAAGTTAAGGAAATGAATACCTAATGTGGTTAATTTATTTAATCTGATTTGAGAAGCTGCTTGTCTATAATTTTTTTGTGTTCCTGATAAGCATGATTTTCATAAATATTTATACATATATTGCATATACATGTATTACAGGATGGACTTCTAGGAGATGAAATCCATTGTCCCCTAGGAGATGAGTTCCATTCTCCCCTAATTTTTTTCACTTTAGGATGATATCCAAGTTTTAACTTATTTCAAAATATCTTACAATAACTTATCTAATATGTTGCTTCTGTCCTACTTAGAAAGTTAATAAGCTAAAGAATGCAACAATGTCTCCATCTTTTTTTTGCCAAGATAGAGATGATAAGTTGAGTTAGGCAATGCAAGGCTTGGGATTTGTTGGTGTGATTGATAGTGGTGACAAATGGAGCTTGGACGACTCGACAAATAAGAGGCTCTCTCCATCGACGTTAGAGCGAATTTGGGAAGGGGAAGAGAATGATAGCATGGAAGAGAAATGGGCAATTTATGGGAGGAGGAAGCAATAGTGGAGGAGAGTGATGTGGAGGAAGTTGAGTAGGAGGTAAGCTAGCCATAAATACTATTACAACACTGAATTCATATCAAGGGGTTTACATTGTTGAGGCGACTGCTCCGTTGGATTGTCGAGACAACTCCATTGTAGCCTCTTTTATTAAGGGGTCTTCATTGCAACCTTCCTTATTGAGTGGTCTGGATCGTCGAGGGGCCTGATTGATTTTGTCTCGTTGCAACCTCACTGTTTTGTCGTCGAGGATTCATGTCGGCTTTGTCACGAGCTTGAAAAAGTGATTGATATCAGGAGCGAAATTATATAGAGTTCTCAACGAGAATTAAACCCGAGTCAATCTTTTATAAGCATTCGCTGCTCATGCACTGCTCATGTTTGTTTTTCATCGGGACAAAACTCACAATCGAAGCAGCTGTTTGTGGGATATCCGCATTAGGCTAATCAAATCCGTTGTTTTTTCACTGCATTCGAGCTCAAGATTGTAGCAACTACTAGCTCATTTTCTCATGACGTCGTATAAGTCTGTGATGATGACTGGAGTCCAAAGAAACCAAGCAATTGCTAAAGAAACTCGGTGTTCTTCTCCAATCTCAGATGCAGTTCCATTTACCAAAGAGCAATTAAAACACCTGCAAAAATTATTTCAATCTCTAAAACTGTCCCCAACTTCATCTTGCCCCTTACTACAAAAGGGTAATTCTCTAATAAGTGTGTTGTTAGGTGTTATTCCTAATTCTATTCATTCTTGGATAATCGACTCAAGTGCAATTGATCATATGATTGGTTACTCGAAATTGTTCTCATTCTATAAATCTTGTGCATGCAAAAAAAATTCAAAATTGCTGATGGCTCTCATTCACGATAATTGCCAGGATATGAACTGTCAAACTCACTCTCTTGTTAACTCTTTACAATGTGTTTCATGTTTCCAGTTTATCTTATAACTTGTTGTCCATTGGTACAATTATTTTGACTATCGATGTAAAGCTACATCTACCCTTCTTGTTGTAAGTTCCATGAATTGATCACTGGTAGGATGATTGACAGTGCTAAGAAAAATGATGAGTTATTATTTTAACTATGCACTCGACTCAAATATATAATATCAAAGTACTAGTTTAAATTCTAATTTTATTTTCAAAGACAATGATATTATGTTATTACATTATAGGTGTCATCCTAATTTTCAGTATTTAAAATTTCTGGTCTTCAGTTTATTTTATAATAAAAATTTTTCATCTTTTAAATGTGGAATTTGTTAGATTTTCTAAATATTAGCGTACTTTTTTCTCCACAAATATACAAACATATTGCACCATTTACTTTGATTCACAGTGATATCTGCAGTATGTATAAAATTTTATTTACTCTGAAAAAATGATTTGCGAAATTTTCAGTTGATCACTCAAGGTCAAGTTGAGCTTGTTTAATGTAAAAAAAATTAGAAGTAGAGACTATTTTAAAAAGTTTTTACATTATGGTACAAACACAATTTCAAAATAAGTATTGAAATATTATAAAGTGATAATGACCAAGAGTATATCAAAATATTTTGGGTCAATTTTTCTTAAACAAAATCATCAAAGCTTGTATGTGGACACTTACATTTATATGGTGTAGTTGAAAGAAAAAAACAAAATTTTATTGGAAGTAGCTCAGGCTTTGTTGTTTACCAATCATGTGCCAAAATATTTATGGGGTAAGATCGTTTTTTATGTTATATTTCTCATAAATAGAACACCAATAAGATTTTAAAATTTGAATCATCTTTTGTTTTTTTTTCATAAAATTTTTTCAACAAATCAGCTTTTGTCTTATTGGCTTTAAAGATATTTAGATATACTGCCTTTGTTCACATTCATGGTCATAATAAAGAGAAAAGTTGAACCCCGAGCAAAAAAAAAAAAGTATGTTTGTTGGTTATTCTTTCATTAAAGAGGGGTATAAATGTTTTAATTCTATTTTTAAAATATATTTATTATCATGGATGTCACATTTTTTTGAATCACAACTCCTTTTTTCACCTCCTCTTCAAGGGGTGAGGACAATACAAATATTTGACTACTGTTTTGTAGGATCTTTTTCAAACCCAAGAGTTACAAAATAACGCTTCCCCAACCTTGATTATTCAACTTGAAAATTTAAACTCTGTAATGTTAGGGGAAAATGAATCAAGTCTGTTAAATATCAAAGATGATTCAGATCTTTCTACAGTATCATCTCATGATGTTTTTGATTTTACAACAACTAACAAAGAAGAAACAAAAAAAAAATTATGACATTGGTACCATTTGATATTATTCACTTGCGCCAAAGGACAAATTGAAATAAAGGGTTTTCTATTCCTTTGCACTACATAGGAACCATCAGGTGAAGTCCTCACCAATCCTTTACCCCATGTCTAGTCCACTGTATCTTCGAATTTTGTGTCTTTTGGTTCTTAAGTTGAGTCTAGTTATAATCCGTAGTCTAATGATTCTAATTTCCCATTGCTGTTTATAAAGGGGTGAGATCTTCCATTATCCAATCATGTGTCATATGAAAATTTCTCAGCCACTTTCTATGCTTTTATCTCACGATTTTCCTGTATGGAGATTTCTTATAATGTGTAGGATGCTCTGAAAGTTCCGAAATGGAAGGATACCGTCTTTGAGGTGATAAAAACATTTGAGAAAAATGACACTTGAGAATTGGTTGATGTACCCAGAGTTAAGACAACTGTAGTGTGTAAATGGGTGTTTATAGTCCAATATAACTTTGATGGCTCTCTAGAACGGTACAAGGCTTGACTGATTGCTAAGATATACAGTCAGACATTTGATATTGATTACTTAGAGATATTTGTTCTATTCCCAAAATAAAATTTCGTAAGAGTACTTTTGTCACTTGCAAGTAATATGGATTGACCCTTATAACAATTAGATATAAAAAATGCGTTCCTCAATGAGGACTTGGAGGAAGAAGTACACTTGGATGCAACTTTAAGATTCAATGAGAAGTTCAACACAAATGTGTAAACTAAAAAGTTATGTTACGGGTTTAAGCAGTCGGCGAGAGCATGGTTTGAGAAATTTATTAAAGGTCGGGGGTAGAGTCAAGGGCAAAGATATTATAAAATATTTTTTAGAAGTCAGATGATGAGAAGATAGTCATAATGATTGTGTATGTGGATAAAATAATTCTCATTGGAGATAACACATATAAGATGAACCGCTTGTATACTTTCCTCTTATCAAATTTTGAGACAAAAAAATTATAATTTCTAAGATATTTCTTTGGCATGGAGGTTGCTCGATTGAATAAAGAGATTGATGTTTCTCAACGAAAGTATCTCATTGATCTTTTCAAGGAAATTGGGATGACTGAGTGTAGGTCTGCCAACACTCTAATTGATCCCATTCAGAAATTGGGAGAAGGATGGAGGGTGATCTAGTGAATAAAGCTTGGTATTAAAAGTTGGAGGGAAAGCTGATATACTTATCACATACGCAATCAAATATTTTTTTTGCCGTAACTTCGGTAAGTCAATTTATGCATTTGTTGTATGATAAACAACCTTGAGGTTGTTAATAGAATTCTCAGATACCTGAAGGCTGTACGAGACAAGGGCTTATTTTTTAAGAAGATTACATAACAAAATATAGGCATTGATGCTGATTGGGTGGTTTCAATTATTGGCAGGAGATTGACGTCCAGATACTGTTCTATGTCTGGGAAAGTTTGGTTACAAGGTGAAGTAAGAAACATAATGTTGTTATTAGGAGTAGCGTCGAGGCAGAATACAGGGCTATGATTAATGCGAGATGTTATGGTTAAAGAAAATTCTTGAAAAGCCACAGATCCCGATAAATATGGCAATGAAGTTATGCCGCGACAATAAAACATCCATAAGCATTGCAGAAAATTCAATGCAACGTGATCACACAATGCATGCTAAGATTGACAGACACTTCATAAAAGAGAAGATTGATCTTGGAGCTATTTAAATGCCTTTTATCTCTACAACACAATAAATAATGAATATATTAACCAAAGGACTTTTCAAACTTATTTTTGAGCTATTTGTAAGCAAGTTGGGCATAGCAAGTTGGGCATATGAAATATCTATGCTCCTGCTTAATGGGGGTGTCGGATTTTTAGGAATGTCTAACTTTTTTATTTTCTATTTTTAGAGTATTATATTGTTGGTAAGTTTTGATTTTTTTTTCTAGCATGAGAATTTTATGGCTTTCTTAATTTGACGGCCTTCCCTTGTCATTCATCTATCTTATAATTTATGAACTCTTTTACTTTGACACCATCATCTTCTTAGTTGTTACACTCAGATATATATATATATATATATATAGATATAGATAGATATAGATAGAAATTATTGTTGAACCCCAAAAACCAGTTTGTCGATGTCCCTATTCCAAGCCCCATTGGCATTTCTACTTACTACTTAGTTCTGTAGTCTTTACCAACCTTCCTCTATCCAGAAGCAACTTTTGTTGCGAACCTAACCCTTTTTTCATGTAGTTGTCACTCTTCCAAGAAACCACCCAAAGCATCTCTCGTATCACTATCCGTTGTTCAACACCACCATTTAGGTCATCACTAACCATACTAAAGCTTGCCAATCACACATTTTGTACATTTCCTTAAATCCCAAAACCTGTTACTTGCCTATACCTCGATCCATTAAAAATTTGCAGTCCTTTAAACCGGCAACAGCTTTTTTTGTAAGCAATAATCTATCATTGGCTTTTAATTTGTTTGTTTGGTAGTTGTGGATTTATTATTTAATTCAATCTACATTTAATGGAAGAAGACATTAGTTTGATTGAGGATTATTGTGCAAGACTGGACAATTTGGATGATAAATTAGCGCATACATCTATTACTTCGAAAAATATTACCTGAAGGTTGATGCTTCTTAAAAAGCTCCTTGAACCACATTCTCAATATGAATTGTTGACATCAACTACAGTTTCTACATCCACGGCTCATTCTGAAAATATTTTGGATGGACTAATTTCAATTTCCTTCAAGCAAATGTCAAAAAGGACATGATTGAGGACATTATATATCATTTTTGCAAATCTTAGGACCAATCCAGGGATAAGTTATGTTATGATGTCATGCACTATTCTGGATATAATATTGACTAAAATGATTCGCGATAATAGGATGTATATGCAATACTCCATTTATGATTAATTCAAAGCACGGATCAATTCCTCTAGTTAGCGCAAAAAGAAAGTTTTGCTTAAGAAATTGCAGTGAAATGAATGGCCAATGTTTTTATTGGATTGACTTGAGGAGTTTGACATTGAGGGCAAGTTTATTGTGGGAGGGTGGGCAATGCTGTGAATCTAAATGATTTTCTATGGAGGTTTTTAAGTAGAAATAGTTAATGGGGTTTATCGAGTTGCACTACCCTTGTATGGTATAATACTCTTTTTTAGTGTGGGTGAGGATATGAAATAAATTAAACAAACTCTTTATTAGTTCTTTCTTTTTGTTATTTCGGGAATTTGAGCAGCTTGAAATGTTTGAATAAGATTTGGTTTCATCAAATTTAATGCAATTACTCAAAAACCGTTTCATGAGAAAATTTGCAAGTTCATTCTTGGGTACTTTTCAATAGTTTCAAAATAAAATGACATGATATGTGGGGTGTCAAATCAGGTTCACAAAGTGGGTTTAAGTCTAATCTAAAATTGACACGACTCGAAACTACTTGATCTGAACTTGACCCAACTTGACATTGCTTGACCTGAATATTAAATGGGTTAGAAATTGTTGCCCAAAATTGACCTGAACTTGACTCATATAACCCTCTTAATATGAGCATAATAATTATTTGGGTCATATTTGGGTTAATTTTGAGTCAAGTTCGGGTTAAATTCAAATTGACGGGTCAGATTTAGGTCGATTTTGAGTCAAGTTCTGGTCAAATTGAAATTGGTGGGTTTGATTGGAGTTATTTTGTGTCAAGTTCGGGTCAAATTCGAATTGACAGGTCATATTCAGGTCAATTTCGGGTTGGCAGTTAATTTTGGATTGGCGGGTCAACCTAATCCTGATAAAAAAAATTAAACGTGTTGGGATTTTGAACTCAAACCCGACTTGAAAATTATTCAGATCATCCCAAATATGGATTTTTTTTGGGTTGGGTTCTAGTTGAGTTGGCATGTCAAGTCAATATTTAATACCCCTAATCAGATATGCTTACATCTTATAAAATTGAGAAGTCTTCTTAAATCCACCATGGTGACAACATTAGCAACATCCTTTTTTCTTTTTTCATCCAACACCACCAATAATACCTTGTATGTTATAATCCTTCCCTGATGCGTGATTTTTTTTTTGGTCATTCTTTGCACTTATAGATTAATTTTGATACGTTGTAGTCAAGCATAAGTCCATGAATATTACTCATTTTTTGTGCCTTTATGTTGAGGTTACTTCTGTATTAACAGGTGGCAGAAGTGAGCTCAATTTTAGGAAGGGCTAGTACAGTTGGGTTTGGGAAAGCTGTTGAAGTTTTGGATAATTTTGGTAGTAGCGTGACAAGTTTGAACCTTAGTGGCAGCTTTGTACCAGGATCAACAACTAAAGGAGGCAAAATATATATTTTAGCCTTTGAGGTTGCCAACACAATAGTTAAAGGTGTCAATCTTTTGCAATCTCTTTCAGATGAAAACATAAAACACTTGAAGGAGGTGGTGCTTCCTTCAGAAGGTGTGCAACTTTTAGTGTCTAAAGATATGGATGAACTGCTACGGACAGTGGCTTCTGACAAGAGGTGTGGCGAGAAACTCTTTACAATTTAAGAATCTCTTATTACTCAGGTTGTTCTTTTGGATTTTACTTCATCTATTCACATGGAATTCTTGTGGTGAACAGGGAAGAATTAAACATATTTTCAGGAGAGATAGTTCGCTTTGGAAATCGGTGTAAAGATCCTCAGTGGCACAATCTCGATCGCTATTTTGAGAAGTAAAATTAATTCTCTACAGTTTTTACATCATAACTTCAGTAATCTGCAAATTTATCTAATTTTATGTTTCTTCTTCTTTTGGTTATTGATGTTAGGCATGGTTTAGAACGAATATTTCAACCACAGTTAAAGCAAGATGTGGATACAGTCATGCAGCAGTTGATGACAATGGCTCAGTACACAGCTGTAAGAGTCGTAAGAAGACCTATGAATATATTTGGATTTCTCGAAATCTTGATTCTTCATTGTGCTGATTTGTTAATGTGTTGATGTGGTTCTCAATGAACGTATACTATTTAAACTAATTACTCTTATCATTACACTCAAATAGGATTGATAAAAGATGATGCTAGGACTGCTAGCTCAGATGTTTAATTTCAGTTTCTTTGAAATACTGCTCAAATTTTTTTCAATGTTTTCCTTTTGCAGCATTTTCTGCAAATTTTTGGGATTCTCTATTGTGTTGTCATAATATTATACATGAAATTACTTTTTCATTCTAGTGGAGATAATAGTCTATCAGGTCTCCCTTTTACTGTGAGAGTATATTAATAAGCAGACATTTTATCTGTCATACAAGACTTTATCTTCTGGTAACCCCCCCATTTATGAAATTTGAGCTTATTGTGGATCTTGTTTATGGTCTACCATATATGATTCTATCCCCCCCCTCATTTTTGCCTGCTTCAGAATTTCATGTCGTTGCTTTCTGTAAAGGTGCCATCTTATGAAATTCTATTGCTAATCCGTTGTAGTTTTATGTTACATTAAGTTACAGGATTTTATCCTTTAATAATTAGAAAACCCAGATGATACTTTTCATCAGTCAAAGAATTGTGTGGTTTTGTTTAACCAAAACCAACAACCCATCAATTTTTGGTGGCTACGCTGAATTTTTTTTTTTCATAGATTTGTTTCCATCTTGATTGTAATATTGTATACCGTGTTAATATTCATTTTTAGGTAATCAGTTGAATGTTCTATCTATACTACTTTCCTACTTATGCCTATTAAGTATTTTTATACTTCATTTCGACTCCGCTACTATTTCTGTTCCTGCTATGCTATAAGAATTATTATTATTTCTTTTTTTCAGGAATTATATCATGAGCTCCATTCTTCGGATAGGTTCGAACAAGATTACAAGAGGAAACTTCAAGAAGAGGAGAATTTGACGGCAGCTCAGAGAGGTGAAATACTTTTTAGCATCAGGATATTTTTGAGGTTTTTAGGGACTGGAAATTTTATGTGCCCTATATTGATTGATACTTGCTTGATTTTGCCTTTTAGATTTTTTTTGATGAAAAAGTGCTATTTTGATAGCATGGTATTGTGTTGGTCTGAGGTTTAGTTTTAAGAGAGGTTGATTTGGCTTGCAAGAAATATTTTGAATGAATAAAAGAAGTTCCCAATTCGCTCATGTTCCAAGTGCGTTTGTTGGCAAGTTAAAAGTGTGAGAATTTATGTTTGGAGGTAAATGCACTGCTAAACACAACATAGGGATTACTATTCCATATGGCAGTGCTAGTGGGAAGTTAGAAGAAAATTAGGGCTCTAAGCCTCAGAAAATTCAGAAAACTCAGATCTTTATTCTTTACAGCAAGCACTTGTACGAGTTTTTAAAGTAGTGTTTTGAGGGTATTGACTAAACATGAGGCTATAAATCTCTCAACAACCTCTGGTTGTTAAGCCCAAAAATAAATGAAAAGCAAGGAAACTTTGGAAAAAGATAGTATAGTCATTGAAGTGAAGGCAAATCGAACATGTTGATAATCCTGTATTGTAAGTTAATATTCCGTAATTCCCATATATTGCAAAGAATGTCATATTGGTTGTTCCAAAAAAACAGAAGCTCATTCATCTTTTGTGATTGTGAGATTTAGATTAAGGTACTTTATTTTGAATTAAAATATTTCCAATGTTTTTGAACTGGAATGAATTGAAACTTGGGATGTAATTATCCTAGAAAATTTCTCAATAATTGCTCAAAATTTTGTCAATTCAAAATTATGAGCTTTTTGGCAACTTATAGGATTCAACTCTAATATTTAGTAAATCCAATGCTCTGAATTGAGGAATCATGAGGTGGTTTTATCCCAATAACTATTTGGTGAGACTAATTTTAAATCCTATCTAATCCTTGGTTACTGATAGACTTCTTTTAGGATTTAAAACGTTCGTTCAACATGATTTTAATAGTTAGTATCAATGATGTAACTATTAAGATTACTTTATTTTAATTTTATTTTTTTATTTCTAATTTTATTAATTATTAATTGCTACCTTCTAAGCCAATTAATCATTAACTAGAATTTCACTAAAACTCATTAATCCGTAATTAGTAACTTACTGCTCATTATTTAGCATAAGTTAATATCTTAATTAATTGTTATTTAGTAATTTATTTAGTTAACTAAATAATAAATTTTAATTAATCAATTTAAATATAAATGATGTCAGATTAATCAAATTAGTATTTTTTTAAAATTACTAATAATAATCAATGATCATTAGTAATTTTTTGAGAAATTTAATTACAACAATTAAATTATAATTAAAATAACAAAATACTTAATTAATTATTGATTAAGAATTTATAAATTTAATTAAATGTTAGAACTTGACAGCTCCCACCTGAAACTCTCGTCTTCCTCAACATTTTGAAACCCTTGTCTTCCTTCACCTCATTAATGGGATAATGGTCGTGTGCTTGAAGCTGTCATCTTCCTCTCCTTTTTTCTACTATCTAAAACCCTTCAGGAAAAACAAGCGAGGAAGTCACGACGGGCTTTGCAAGTGAAGTCATCTTTGAGTATTTCTTTATTTTTGTAATTTCTCCACTCTACTCCCTAGATTTGCTCAATCCACTGAGCCTTTGGTTTAGTATATCTGAGATTTATGCTGAAATGATGGTAAATTAGGTTTTAAGTTTTTATAGAATTTAAATTGTTCATTTGGACTGTTACACATAATTCATGCTAATTCTGATGTAAATCCCACTTAAATATAGCTACTAAACATCCCCCTAAAGTTGATTTGCTTCAACCTTACAATGACCACTAGAAATTGCACACATATACATCCATCAACACCCATTTAGGGTTTGTTTGGGGCAGCTGCAGCATATCCAACTTATGCTGATAAACAATTTATCCTGATAATCTGCTGATGACCAGCTGATCCGGATAAGCTGACTGACTGTTTCGTTAGTGTATTTTGAGAAGAATTGATTATGAATAAATGACCAATCTGCTGCCTCTATTCTGGGTAAGCTATTTAGCTTTTTAGTTCGTGCGTTTTGAAAATAGCTTATTTGCAAATTTTTTTTACAAATTTACCAACCTTCTTAATGCAATCATAAAGGGGAGATAAATGTGAAGATTGAAGAACATGAAAATACAAAATATTCTTAAAATTAAAGTTCAAATGTTAAGACATGAAACTACAAAATATTTATATTACTTAAACATTTCAGATCACATAACAGAAACACAATAACCTAAACAAAAGTGAAATACTTAACACACTAATATATACTATAATGATACCCAAAAAAGAAGAAAAGATAACATGTTAAAATTACAAGGAAAAAAATTATAATGTTGACTTTAAAATGTAGCAGCATATCACGGCCTATGCTGCCCGGCTCTGACACCTCAGATACCAGAGCAAACCTATCCAATTGGGATACTGTAGAAATGGAAGCACTAGAACCAAGAGCAGTGTTCTGAAATTGTCATACCAACGTACTCTAAGCAGCGGTGTCCAATTGAGATTTTATAGAAAGAGACGTATTGTCGGCCCATCTGAAGAAAGCGTAGTCCTCTTGTTCTTGTTTCCACCGCGGGCACCTGTAAAATTGTCTCCCGTAGTTATGTGGCTGGCGTGACGTGAGTAGCAAGGTCGGTAGCCCGCACCAACACATCACTTTCCCGGACTTCCCTGAATATCTGGAATTCATCGTCCTGCAGTTAATAAAAAGAGAATAGATCAGTAAAAAAATTTGAGGAAATGTTGAAAATATACTTACCGAAGTATGGAGAAGCCAACCAATTTCAACACTATGAGAAGCCAGCACAACACAACTGCAGCTTATTATGTTTTTTCTGGATCCAAAATAAAGTAAAGATTGCCATTATGTAAAAAAGAATAGCTGCAACTCAGTGTGGTCTAAAAAATTCTTTCTATTCCATCTAAAAATTTCATTTTTAACATCCCACAGATGTTAACATAAAGAAAACTGGTATAAGAGCATTATTCGGAAGTGCAATGTCTAACCCTTGCAATTTCATCCCAGATATAACAACCATATATAGCCATGTAAAAGGAGTGCCTTTTGTAAATATAGCCATCTCAATACAACAACCATATATAGCAGCCACGTATTATAATGAAACGTAACATGCTCCATCCTAGATGTAAGGATGAAATTTATATCCTGCAAACATGCACAAATTACCTCACACAAATATGCAGCTTGTTTAACACAACCTTGTATAAGAAAAGAGCGATATAATATAACAAAAAAATGTACATGTTTAGCCTCATTTGCATCCAAAAGCCAAAATTTTCAGACAGCCGAATCTGTAGCCCAGACAACCAAACTAATACTGTTCCAGATGGAAAGCTTATTTATATATTGATGCAGGGCAAGCGAGAGCAGCGAGGGCAGCAGAGGAAAATAGCCTGCCCAAACGCGATATGCACCTATAGCCCCGCGTTTACTATTTAGCCTAAACAGTGAAACACAGGTTTTAAAAACGCACTAACCAAACACTAAGGCGGCGTTTTCAAGCCTCACTTTTAAGCTGCCTCAAACGGGCTCGACATCCATACAATATACAAAGTAGAGTGACTTTTCTATTTCTAGGTGAAAAACGACTACCATCCTTTTAAGTTTCATTTTGCTTATACGAGTTTACCTATTGTTGAAACTGAAGATTATACCATAAAAAATACTTTTAGATTGATTTTCATCAATTTTTATAATTGTTTATAACCATGTGGAAAAATGAGTATGATTTAAGTAGATATAGAAGCCCTTTAAAAACTTTGGTTTTACTTATATATTTCTCCAATTCCAATCCACTATATGTTGAATCATTATCTCATATCTTTAATTCTAAGTCTTCTGATCCTTTATACTAGAGATCACAATTCTTCTTATGCAATTAGAACTACATCAGTTGACAATGAAATGATTTTGTGTTTGTGTTTGCTCGAATGCATCTGTTAACTTGTTTGTCATGCATGCAAAAACCTATTTATTTTTATATTTATATGTATATATATATCCAGATATAATGAGTTTAATTTGAAATTTTAAAAAATTTCATCGATGGTAATATTTTTAGCTCTAACAAAATTTGAAATTCAATTGTTAGTTGGGCTTTTTTAAGTGTACTTAGACTTTCTTATTTTCATTTCGACTCAAATTTGACCTTGACCTCAAAATCTTAGGTTTTGATCTAAGATTGGCCAACTTGAACTTGGCTCGTTATCACCTCAACCTAATTCATTGGGACATGCTTGCTATAAGGTTATTGATGATGATTCCTCAGATTTAATCTAAAATCATTCTAGTAAACTTTTATAAAAATTTCAAAAAGTGGTCTAATAGTTGTTGAAAATTTTGTAAATCCTTTGAAACAAGAATTCTGAGAATGATAGTTTACATATATGTGTGCTTCCCTATTACTTAAATCTTTTCAATTTAGAATTTCTAGCATTTCGTAAGATAACTGTAAATGCAAATCAAAACGTAAGCATGGTTATAATTTTTTTCTTATGTAGTTAGATTAAGCATTTATCATGCAGATTTTCAATTAGAAAATCCATTTTCCCTTGCAAAAAATTTTGGAAAATGTGTAAACACGAGTTTCTGATTGTATCAATTAACTACTGTTAGAGTTGAAATTTTGAAAATTGAGTATGGTCATAAGTTTGCTAAGTCATGATACCGGTCGTAGTAGTTATGGTTATGGTTATATAGTTTTATGCATATTTATGAAATATTAACATTTCTCTAATGTATAGATGGTAATTAAAATGCTAAAAATAAATTGAATTGAAGTAGAAAACCATTGGAATTTAAATTTTGATTGGCGTTCGCTGTTCGTTGTGTTTTCAATTTTATTTTATTTTTATTGAAAGTAACAAATAATTGTTAAGCATTATAGGCTTGTGACTTGTAATTATGTGAGTTTGTTGCATGACTTTTTACATCTTATTATAGATCTGCATTAGAAACCCTTAACATTAGATGCACATTTGGATTTTTTTGCCATGATAGCATTTTTCCTTGGGTTAGTTCCACTTACATGATGTACATCGTACATCATTAAGCACATAAATGTTTTTTTTTTTTTACTTCTGAACTTAAAAGTTTTTTTAAGCAATTTATTATCTTAATCTATGATGAATACGTTCATGAATAATTGCATTTGTGAGGACTGAATAATCTTAATAAAATTAAGCGTCTAGCAGTGAAGTCTTGTTTGAAAGCTAGAATGCAGTAGATAAATGGATATTAGTGCATGGTGGATGTTTGATATCAGTGCAGGGGAGGTGCGGAAGTAACTCAAATTAACCTGAGGGTTGTGGCAGTTGATAAAATAATCAATCTGTTATGAGGAAACAGTAAAAGCTGTATTGCCTGTTCTTTTATTTGATGCCAAAATTCATTGTGCTGGAGTCGGCATGGTCATGCTTAAAATAAAAGCAGTCTTTTTCTTATGGTACTTTCATGTTAGATTTATGAGGTAGCTGCTGGTTGGCCTGGTACTGAGTTTTTGTATTGGACATTATAACCACTTTATGGCAGTCTTTTTTTTTTGGAATCAAGCATCTTTAGTATTGTTTTCTTCGAGCATATTTTTTCTTACCTGCGTATCATTTAATTTATGTGCAGGAGACAGTCTCCAAATATTAAAGCAAGAGCTAAAAAGCCAAAAGAAACATGTAAAGAGCTTAAAGAAAAAGTCTCTTTGGTCCAGAACTTTGGAAGAGGTGGGTAGTTACCGGCGCCTTCGCCTTCATATTGAGTTGTTTGATTATGTGTCTCCCATGAATTACATCACCTATTATCTTATTAGCTTGGAGTATCCCTTTTTCTATTTATATTGTTTTCATTGATGGTTATTAGATTTATTTTGTGCAAAAAGCTGACGGTTGTTTGCTATAGGTCATGGAGAAACTTGTAGATGTTGTCGACTTCTTGAATCTGGAGATCTATAATGTCTTCGGTAGTTCGGGTACTCATTTTAGCATTTGTTTTAAGCTTTTTAAGCTATTTTTATTTCATGCTGTGGAGTAAGCATGCAAGTAAATATCATCCATTCCTGTGAAGAGAACGGAGAAGATGTAAGTTTAGAAGTTGTGTGGAATCAGAGTTATTTGTCAATTTGTCATGTATATGCAGTTATTTTGAAGAGACATGGCATCTTTGAAAGTTTTTTTTTGACATGGTATGCCAGTTCCCTCTATTTTGTGCACAATGCTTAACAGCAGTAGTGAGAAAGTGTTGCAAGGGCGTCTTATTTTATAAAGTAGGAGCTGAATCATTTTCAAGAAGAAGCTCATTATAATTGATGACTTAGTGATGCAAGTTGGATTGTTTAGCTTTGGAGTAGGCGTGCTTTTTTCAGTGTTCCATTCTGTATGATAATGAGCTCTTATGCACACACAACTAGTTTCAACATTGCGTTCATGAAATTTTACATATGTTAATTTGCTATGATACCTTGCATTACCTCTCAAAGATGTGTGAAATTGCTGTTTATCATTTTATGTGTGGAGCTTGTTTATTTTTTTGGTTGGTATATAACTTAAATTGGTTTTCATGTGTTATTATCAGTCAATAAATGAATTATGAAGCAACTTCTAAAGCCTTTTTTATCTTAAATATTTGCTTATATTACATGCATTTTGTTTTTGTTTATGCTCATTATTTTTCATTTGGTTCAATAAAATTGCAGATGGGGATAAACCAGTGAAAGGATCTATTGCTAGTAACCGGAGACTGGGTCCAGCTGGCCTAGCACTGCACTATGCTAATATTATCACTCAAATTGACACCCTTGTAAGCTATTTAAGTGCTTGTCCAGTACTATTCAACATTTTTTTAATTATGTTTTTTTTGGTCCCGTAATGCTTTCATTTTGATTTGATGAGTTACATTTTTCAATTTTTTTAGCATTTTTATTCTCATAATTTTGTAATCTTGGTAATCATGAAATGTTTAGTGTAGTTAATCTAGAATAATGAGTTATGCCTAATGTCTGGGTATGTTTTTTAGCAATGTAAAACACTAGTATTTAATTTTTTCGGTGCATAGAAAGTTATGAAACGTGTAGAAATCCGAATATCATCAACAATATTTTTTAGGGTCATTGACATGCATACCACCCAATTCCTTTGTATTCAAATATGCAACACCTAAACTTTACGTTTTACATTTACACCACCCAAATCTTTCATATCACTTAAAAAAATACCATCATTTTAACTTTTAAAAAATGAAACACAAGTTTTCATGCATATAGGTAAAGGTAGTATGTATGTAAAATTGAAGCTTGGGTGCTAGATATATAAATAGTAATTGGGTGGTATGTATTTAAATGTTTGTTTGACGCAATTTGTGCATTTCAGAATAAACAACTTATTCTATAACGCGGCCCACAGGTTGACCTGCAGCTTATCCTGAAGGTCGACCCGCAGCCTGCGTTTAGTGTAAAAAACCCAAACGCGGCAGGAAGCGTATTCAAAAACGCGCAAAACAAACGGTTAGACGGCGTTTTCAAAAACACCGCCGCCCTTACAAGCTGCCCCAAATAGGCCCTAAATCTTCTTATTTTTTTATTGTCTAGTTTATCAATGAATGCCTGCACCAATAAAAAAATTGCATGTGAATTTATTTCTATATTATTCAACAAGTTTGGTAGCCATTTTTTTCTTTTTGACGACTTAAGCTGGTCTAACATACAAATTTAATGGGATCTTGGTTTCAATCGTATTTGTGATTTATTTGTTCCGAAACTCTTTTATTGCTTCACCTTCTTGAACACAGCATTCAGTGATTTTTTATCTTGTTATTTTTTTTGGGGCAAATTGCAGTTCTTTTACAATCCTTTGAAATATTGGTTTCAGACTATAAATCCAAGTCATATAGATATTGGTATAGGAAAGATGTTTTAAGTAGAAGGATTAGTTGGGATATTTCTTATTTATTTATTTATTTTTTTATGATGCATGAAGGTTTTTAATTTACTAGAACTAAATGAAATAAATGAAAATATGACAGGTAAATAGGACACAATGGAGAAAAAGGATTCATGTAGCCGACCCCACATAGTGGGATTAAGGCTTTGTTGTTGTTGTTGTTGTTGTTGGAGGTTTTTATGAAGCTGTTGGTAGTGATTTGGAGTGAATGGAACTCTGGGAAACTGTATTTTTGAGATATCTGAGACCTCCAATTGGTGTTAGGCTAGTTTAGGTTCTCGTTTAGAGTGAGCTCATGGGGATGATTTTTTTGGTCATATGAAGGCATAAATGCCTTGCTTGATAAGTATATGATGTGATGAGTTGTTATATATAAAGCTTGGGGCTATTAAGAGGCTTTGACTTGGTGCGAATTCAAGCTTTAAGATTCTTAAATATTTTGAGGAAGTTTACAAACATATATAATTCTTTTGCATGGGGTGATGAAGGATTGGAGAGTAGGGCACTACAAAAAAGGTAAAACACTAAATATTTGTGGAAAATAAGAATGTGAATAAATCTACCCTCACCTATTGAACGGGTGGAGGAGAACCATCTTGTAGTTCTCATGAAAATGGCCATCAAGCTAGTTCCAAAAGAAGATGACTTTTCAAATTCATATCAATTCGTAACATTTTGATAGTATATACCATTTTTATGCATATGTAACATTTGGGTACGTTTGATGAATAAAGAAGAATGCACATCGTGGAGGAATTCCTTGAGTGCTTGCACCAACTTAAAATTTTAAATATATGTTCTGTAACTTTTCAAACGTGCGTGAACACATCAGAGTGGAAGCTTGTTGAAGGAGGGCTAGTTATTGACCATTTATTTGCATGGTGATGTGGAAGCTCGACTTTGTATTGTTTGTAACTTGCATTGCAATTTTTCACAAAATTATATGATGAATTATTACATAATTCTTTCACCATTTTCCATTAATACAATTAAATACCTTCAAGAAAAATAAAATACAAATTCATAAAAATATTTAGGAACTATTATGCCTCATCAATGCCCTGGACCCAAAATATTCTTCATTGAAGAGATAGAAACCAGGTAAGCAGACAATGCAGCCAAATTGATATTTGCCAAGTTGGTGGGTTGTCCTGAGTTGGAGGTATATCTATGAAGATGAGCAACTGCCAAAGGATCTGTCTCACTTACAAGGGGGTTATGCTTCAAATTCCATAACTTAATGGATTTCTTAAGAGATAAATAATAAAATGCAACGGGAATTGGAAGGTGAAACATATCAAGAAGAATTGACAGAATAGTTAATGAATTGAAGGTATTAACTATATTTGATCTCATGATTGGTGGAATTTCCCGATCATATTGATTTTGAGGGTTTAGATAAGATCTTGTTTGCAAATATAGCAATCGAAGTTTTCATTTTTTTTTTCTATAATCTTCTAAATCTTTTCTATTTTCATCTCCATCTAAGTATTTTGCTATCAATTCTATTGTTTTATAAATTAAAAGATCATTAACTTATTATTTGAGTCAATCACTCTCAGGGCATGAAACAAGGCCTTTGTAATTGTGATGGCAGATTTACACTTGGCTAAATTCTTTCATTTGAGACAATCTACTCACTTTTTCCCCTTCATGTGTTTTTTCCTATGCACAATTTATCCTTTTTTGTAGAGGTGAACATATCCTTAAAAAATTATGTTACTTCTAAGATACTTTGTAAAGGTTAGTGTATTGTGGCAAATCTTGTGGCTGCTAGTTCAATTAATTATTTTTTAGAGAACTCAACTGTAAATATAAACAAAATTAAATATCATTTTGCCTTTAATAAACAATTCTTATTTTGCTGCAGCTCTCTAAGTTTCCTAAGTATTAATATGTGGCCCATGGAATGTTGTAAAGATGCTTGTATTTCTCCATCAATTTATTTTCCGCCACCTTGTATGCGCTTGCATTGTCAATGACTACTTTGAATGAAAAATGCTCTCCAATCTTCTCAATAACTCCAATTAATTTAAAAATGTTATTTTCATTTTTCATCTAGTTTGATGTTAGAATTTATTTAAAGAAAATATAGTTAATAAGAGTGTTGATCAAACTCCTATTTTTTAATATCTGATCAACCGTATGATATTATTGTAAACTCTAGTTTGTGACCATTTCTTCAATTTCTCAATGATCTTTATGGTACTTCTCAACTTCTCATTCAATATCTAAGTTTAAATTCATACATGAACTTATAGATTGACATATGTTAAAATAGGATGACAAAGTTACCAAAATTTTAAAAATATAGATTATCAAAAAAGAATCTCCCAATGTTCATATAACTATTTTGTGGAAGCATTTGGCAAGCCACCCTGAATACCGTCATTCATTTCATTCACATTTGTCATATTTTACTCCATTGGTTTCTTAGCTCCTTTTTTTTGAGATTTTGTCCTATGAGAAAAAGAAGACTTGCCACTGTCCCGTTACCATTATAGAAGTCACTATCAACTGCATCATTAAATTATTTTTGCTAATTTTTTTTGACATAGTTGCTTTACTCATGTAAGCATGAATTTTTCTTTACTTCTTTAGTACATTAGTTTATGGTGAAAATTTTTACGAGAACTGGGAAGATATTCCATTATTATTGGACACCTCCTGTAGTTCTTTTCATGATATTCACAATTCAAGTAAATGTATCTTCTCATTCCATGAAAGTTGCACTTGAGCTCTATGCTTTAAAGCAAGATTATTTTCTATTATTTCTCAAAATTTTCATACTCTCTTAAAAATTTCTTATCATTTAGATACTCCTAAATTAAAATATTTTAGCCCAAAGTAAAGAGTATAAAAGAGAGAAGATCAAATAAATAAAATCAGCGAACAAATAGATAACGAACAAAAGAGGAAAAATTAGGTAAGAGGTCTATATTTTGAAAAGAAGCTGCGACAAAAGTAGTTGCTATGACACAATTGTAGCGGTGGTAAACCAGAAGTGACAGCATCATAACAGCTGGCTAGCCTTCTGGGTATGTTGCTTCTTGTAGTTCCCATCAGGCTCTCTCACAATGGTGGTGTGGAGATGAGGCTCTTTGTTTTTTTTATTGATGCCAATTAAACTTGACTTAAAAGTGTGTTCTTAAAAAATTGAGGGGTGTGCCTAGTCACTTTAAGATTCACCTCGATGCATGCCTCAGTCTATGGAAATATAAATTTCAAAATCGCTTGGTGAGTTATATGCCTAAATGTTACTCTTTTGCTCCTCAATTTAAGGTGCATCTCAAATTATACAATTTTAAAATCTGGTGTTATTTGTCTATATTCATCTTTGGTCCTAAATGATGGAGAAGAGAAATGTATTTTGTGGTAGGGCTAGAAATTTTTTTATGGTGTATAAATGTAGGTTTTTATGAAGGTGGCTTGGAGTGAATGGAAATTTGGGAAGTTGTATGTTTTGAGATGTTGAGAGCTTCAATTGGGAATAGGCTTGTTTGTGTTTTATTTGAGAGTGTGGAACTTGTAAGGATGATTCACGCTGTTTATGACAGAATGAGAGGTTGGTTATGATGAGCTTAGGATGTGGTGAGATAGTGAAAATAAGGGTTTGGAGTTACTAAAGGGTGTGAAGATGTGCAGAGTTGGTGTGAAGGCTAGTGGATTGATTTTGGACTATTTTTGGTGATGCTTACAACGAAATAGAATTGCTCTGCATATTTGGAAGAATTGAGAGTGAACTCCATAACTCAATAGGCCATGTAAATGAAGGGTAGCCATTAAATAAAAATGAAAAATAATTAGACACAAGTAAATAAATTTAAACTCTTCGAAGGAAGGGGAGAGGTGAGCCGCTAA